GGCAGCAGCCCCGAGGGTGAGTCATGCACCCACATCCACAGATGACCCCTGTGGTAGTTCCAGAAAGGGGCCCACAGACTCCTGGGCAGAGAACTGTCTGGTGGGATCCATACAGCACCCCCTCCAGTCTGCTGATTTCCATCAGATAAACACCAAGGAGAACAAGACCAAGCACCCGCGCTAATTCACGAAGCAAAACTAGCCTTGCTCTCTCTAAAACCACCCGTTCACTAGCTCATGTTCCCATCACATTATTGCATCGTGGCTGTCACTTCTTGCTGGCTGCTTTCCTTGTCATTTATTCATTCTGGGTTAGGAGATTCGAGGTAAGGGAAATGCGTCTCCTTTTTTTAAAAAAAAAAATAATATTTTTTTATTGATATCAGAGTGGAAGGGAGAGGGAGAGAAAGATAGAAATATCAATGATGAAGGAGAATCATTGATTGGCGGCCTCCTGCACGCCCCCTACTGGGGATCAAACCCGCAACCCGGGCATGTGGCCTTGACTGGAGTGGAACCTGGGACCCTTCAGTCCATAGACTGACGTTCTATCCACCGAGCCAAACCAGCTAGGGCTGCTTCTCCTTTTGAGACTTCACCAAGGAGAAGCCATTGGACAGGACAAGGGAGCAGAAGGATTGCATTTGCCCCTGTTTCTGTCCACTTGGGTAGGAGTCTAGTTCTGTCTCAGGGCACATGGAAGTATAGCTTATATTCAAAGTAACCATGTCTGCAGGACTTGCATTCAGCTTATTGATACTAATATTCAAATCCTTCATATCTTTATATAACTATTACATTTTATATAGATACATCTTCTATATCTGTTATTCTTTACATCTTCCTACTGACAACGTTTGTATTTGGTTGGCAGCAGGCTCATACATCGTGGGTTCATTGAGTCTCTTGATTGCATTATTTTCTCTTGTGCTTGATTTAATCTCATGTTTTAAAATTTATCAAGGCCCCTAAGTATACAAAATTCACTGCTAATCTATACTAATAAAAGGGTAATGTGCTAATTAGACCACGAGACCTTCCGGACGTCCTTCCGGACAAAACCATGGTGGTGGGGCCAAGGCAGAGGTGACTAGGGTGATCAGGCCAGGAGGGGAGGGCAGTTGGGGGTGATCAGGCCAGCAGGGGGGGGCCAGTTGGGGGTGAGCAGGCTGGCGGGGGGCAGGAGTTGGGGGCGAGCAGGCCGGCAGGCAGAGTGGTTAGGGGCGATCAGGCAGGCAGGCAGGTCAGCAGTTAGGAGCCAGCAGTCCCAGATTGCGAGAGGGTGCAGGCCGGGCTGAGGGACGCCCCTCCCCCCATGCACGAATTTCATGCACCGGGCCACTAGTGTTGCTAATAAGAGGCCATGCTGAGTGATTGGCCTGGAAATGAAGTAAAAGTGATTAATGACTACAAAGGTGGAAAATCAGTGATGGTTATTGCTCTTCAGCCACACATGTCCCTTCCACCATAGCTACGAACTTGAAGAATAAGATAGCGATGGAAGCTGTTAAAGGGTTTGCTTCATTAAAGGGTCTGAAGGCCATGAGACCAAGGTGAGAAGGGCGCATATCAGACAGAGAAACTTCTAATGACCCGGATCAAAGACCAGCCACAGGACCATTTTCCTCTCAGCACTGTGACGACCATGGCCAAGGCAAAGCGCCTGCAGTTCTGAGAGAAAAGGCTGGACCCACCTACAATGCTGAATTGACTGCTAGCGCTGGGTGGCTTAAATGATTCAAGAATCGTTATTAATTACGTAGTGTGAACGTGAGGGGTTAGTCTGGAGTACTGATGTGAAGGCAGCTGAAGAATTTTGGGAAACTCTAGATAAGCTGACTGTGGAGGATAATTACTTGCCAAAGCAAATATTCAAGTTGATAAAACTCCCCTAATCTGGAAATGAATGCCAGAAATGACTTTCATCCATAAGGAGGCCAAGTTAGTATCAGGTTTCAGGGCTTTTAAGGACAGGATAACAGTCTTGCTTGGGGGCAATGTTGCAGGATGCAAATTGAAACCCTTTGTGATCTGGCACAGCGGGAACCCCAGGGCCTTCAAGCATATCAGTAAGTACACATGCCCGTACACTGCAGGGGCCAGGAGAAGTCACCGATGACCCCACTCCTCTTCCTGGGTGCCCTGCTGGTTTGTTAAGCCAGTGAAAGGGAGAGAAGTAGGTTTGGAGAATAATATACCTTTCAAGATTTTACGTATTGTTGGTCATGCCCCTGAACATCTGGCTTTTACTGGTTATCTTCTTCCCAATATCAGAGTGGATATTCTCCCTCGAACCACTACCTCTTTGAGTCAACCAATGGATCAAGGAATTATAGCAGCTTTTTAAAAATTATTTTATTTTTATTGATTTCAGAGAGGAAGGGAGAGCGAGAGAGAGATAGAAACATCAGTGATGAGAGAAAATCATTGATCGGCTGCCTCCTGCACGCCACCTACTGGGACCAAGCCCATAACTCAGGCATGTGCCCTTGACTGGAATCGAACCTGTGACCTTTCATTCTGCAGGCCAATGCTCTATCCACTGAGCCAAACCAGCTAGGGCTATCACAGCATTTAAGGCCTATTATCTGAGGGAGACTTTTGCTCAGGCTACTATGCAACTGAGAAAGACACGAAGACACTAATGCAATTCTGGAAGGATGCTGCCATGGTTCTTAAGTTAAAATTCATTGTAATTTTTAAAAATAGAAACATCCATAACAGTGTTACTACAGGTCTACATTGCCACACATAGTGTCTAACTTTACTATATAATTCTATGTGTAATCAATAAAACTTTTTTACATCATCCTTTAACCCAGGCAAGTTTACATTTCTCAGGTGAACTGTATAGCTATGCCAATATTAAATCCAGATTCATTTTAATCCAACAAAGCATTAAAAGAATATATGATTGATAATATTAACAAACATAATTATTATACAAAACACTTATGGTTTGATATTAATGTACAAACACAAAAAAGTGTGCAGCTTTTTATATATGAAATGTATTGAGTGCTTTTGGTCAGCATGATCGTATAGGATCTAAATATTGCAGAGTGTGCCCGCCACCCAAAGTTAAAACTTCTCAATGCAGTTTGCTTTACCTGCAAAAGCCTGGTCAAAATTCCATTGCTTGCAAACTCACATAACTATATGTCAGATGTGCCAGACGCAGATACCTGGCCACACTGTGTAAGGCTGGTAATCTTTTGTAGGATAGGCGGTGTCTTGCTTGCATTTGGGTTGTTGACCCTGAGCACAGAGTAGATACAAAGTGTGGGCCCACTCATACCTGGCTGACTAAATTATCTTTGAGAGAAGAATAAACATTCACAAATTAACCTTCAACTGATGAAACACAGGTATCTTAAGTGCTATAACTGGCCAAGATCCCACTGGCATTTCTTCCAATGAGGAATATTTTCCAAGAGCCCACAGGCAGGATTTACTCTTAGGGCCTCTAGCCTGTTCCATTGCTTGCAAACTCACATAACTATATGTCAGATGTGCCAGAAGCAGATACCAACAAACGAGTCTTGGGCAGGCAGCTTCCTGGCTTCTGGGCCTCCCTTAGATAGGCTTGCTCTCCCTGCACCCATGATATCAGCCAGGGCGGGATGGCGTCTCCACGGAGCACTCCAAGCTTGCTCCGGTATGCCGGATGAAGGAATTCTTCTTGGGGGCTGCCCCACCTGCTAATAAATCAGCTGTAACCAGCTACAGACCAGATGGCTACCAGCTGTAACCAGACGTACCCAGGAGTGGAGTTAATGTGATTCTTGACAGAGACACTCCCTTCTCCCTACATTCCCAACTTGTCCCACTTTGACTCACTTCCACCTTGGAAATCATTCTCCCTGGGCTACAGGAAAGCTCGCCATCTGGTCTCCTGACACCCCCTGTCTGGGGCTGTGTTGTGCTGACAGTTCTCCACACACACCTTATTGTGTCTAACTTTGAACTTTTGCTTCTGCTGCGCTCTTTGCTGGGGATGTCCCTTTCTTTCCCACCTTCACTCCCAGCCCCCGACGCATTGGCTAGATGCAGTCTGTGCGACTGAGCCCAACATGGGCATTCAAGGAAGGCTTCCAGGAGGAGGTGCCCCTCACCACCCAGTAAGTGTGCATTTCACTCAGCCTTCACGCAGTACACTGTTTTCCTGTATGTCTCCTCCCACTGGACTCCTCTCCGGGATGCTCCGGGTTGGAGACTCCGGCTGATAAATGCCTGTTTCCACCTCGCCTGAACATGGCAACTAGTTCATAGTAGGTGCTCAATGAATGTACCCAACTAACTCAAACTGAAATGGCTCAGCCCTCTCCTGCCTTATGTCCTGAGAAGGTTGGGTGACTCTTCCTCAGGGCAACTGCTCCTACCTCCCAGGGGGCTAGGGCAGAGAAGCTAAGGCCACAGCAGCCCCTACCATCTGAATGCCTTTTATTCTTTTGCTTCATTTGGGGAGAGGCAAGGTCACGGCTCCGAGTCCTTGCTATCGCTCAGTGATTTTTAGGCTTGCTAATCTAGTGCAGTCCCTCTAAGTCCAGTCAGACTAGTGGAATGCTTATTTTATTATTCCTGGACTAATCAGATAGTACCTAATACCTGATTCTAGAATAGGCAATAGTACAAGAGAAGAATTAGTGGTTATGAAAAACTCTACAGGAAAAATGTTTTAATGGAGACATTTCTATGTACTAATTAATTTTTTGTTTCAAATGTGGGAATTGAGAAAGACAGTTATTAACCAATTTTTGCTAGTCCCTGTCAGGGGACACTGGTGTTGCATGGGAATGACATTTGAGAATTTTTGCTCCAGTTAAACAAAATTACAGTTAACTATGCCACTTATCAGCAATAAGTTCTTTTATTTCTTGAAAATGAACAACAACAATTTTTTTTTTTTTTAACTAATGGAGCCTCCGTCCTGAAATAGGCTCATCACCCTACCTCAGCCATTGAAGAAAGTAACCATTTACCATCTCTTTCCTTCTTAGGCTGTGAGGTGGAGATTCTTGGTGTCAGACCCACCTACTGCCTGGAATATAAAACTTCCCCGACGGATATCAATTTTGCCAACGCAGTCAGCGATGCTCTCGACTCCTTCAAGTAAGTGCCCCAGGTTCTTAGCCATACCCTTGTTCTTCCTGGTTTCCGGGACCAAAGATAAATGCTAACGTGAATTCAGAAGGCTTGGTGTAGGTGGAATGTAGGCCGTGATTTGGTGAATGCTTGTATCTCAGAAGATATCAACATGTATTCGGCCAAAAGGGAGGATCTGTCGTGAAATAGGTCTGGAAAATGGCCCTACCCTCTTCTTGGAAATGTACAAAGCAATGAGCACATCAGAAGATAGAGCTTTATTTTCTTCTCTCCCATGAAACCATAACACGCAGTTTGGAAAATGCAAAAATTAGTAATAGCACATGCGAGTCTGTCAGGGAATGTGACCTACAAGGCAAGTCAGGACAAAGCCTCAAGTCAGTCTCAGAAATCCCTGGATGTGACATCAAGATGGGTAGCCAGGTGGGGTGATCTCCATGAAAAATTAGCCACCAAGAAGCTGAGGATGTTGGGGCTCTTATGTTTCTAGGGCTGGACCTGGGGTCACCGTGGCTACTGAGGGGGCCTCCTGGGCAGGTCAAGGCACAAGACCCATAGTATTCAGAGTGGAGACCATGGAAGGACTTCCATGCAGGGCAGCTCCCAAGAGCCTTCAAGCCATAGGCACTGGCCACATGAACGGGCCTCAGATAGCGTTGGCCAAGCATGAATCCCATTCTTGCCACCTGCACCGCAGGCATCATGGGGAGCAGCAGTGACCCCCACGGAGCTGAAAGGAGGAGACAACAGGCTAGCCTTTGCTGTCTCTTAGAGTGATTCCACTTCCACGAAAGTCTATCAAGAGGGAACTCTGGGCACATAAGGGTTTAGGCTCTGATTGACAGGTTGGAGAGAAAATAGATTTAAAATACTTAAAAGCTGAGAAGGAACAAATTAAAATTTTAGGGTATTTGAGGGGGTGGTGGTGGAGGGGAGTGGAGACAGGGTTTGGAGGAAGTCCCCTGTAAGTCAATATTCTCCACATGATTTGTAACTGGGATGTGCTCTGTGATCTGCCTCCTGCCTACTCTGCGGTCTTTCCTTGCCCACAAGTGCTGGAACACCACCCGCACGACGAACTGGAATGTTGTGTGGCAGCCTCGTTTGTGCAAACAAAGCAGAACGGCGCGGCAGGCGTAGCAGATGAGCTGGAACTTTCGATGGGTCTATGTCTGCATGAGGCTGTTTCCAGCACGCACAAATGCTAGCGCTCCCTACAGCCTGCCACCTTGCCAAATATGAAAATGTGGAACATAGTTGTCACACAAACACCTCCCAGTTATGCAACACTGTTTGGCAGTGGGATCTTTTTTGCATCTATCTTGTCTTGACAGCTGAATGGTGTCCCACTGTACACCGCCCAGGGACTCACAGGTAGAGAAGCGCCGCACACACAGCTACGGGAATCCCAGCTCAGCGCTGGCCTGCACGCTGGCCCGAGGCCCACCTGCTGCTGGAGGGACAGTGCTCTGTTCCTAGAGAAGTGTGTTTCCGCTTCCTGTTTCTAGGGAAGTTTTCCTTTTTTCGTTTCCAGGCATCATGGCACAGCTATGGCACCCGGGAGGCACAGCTTTACCGTGGAGCACAGCGTTCGGCGATGGGGAGGATGGTGTTTTGTTGTTGTGGGTAGTGGTGGTGCTGGCGGTGGCAGTGATGTGTGTGCACGTGTGTGTGTGTGTGCGTGTGTTTAGAAAGGCGCTGGGCTCCTGTAGAGAGAAAACACTGCAAAGAACTGGAGGCCCAGGAAAGTGGCCCCAAGCGAGGCCTCCACATGGTGATTCTGGGCTAACACATTGCCCAGCACTGCAGGCGTCTCTGTAGACGGCCTTGGCCTCCAGGGCATGGCGTTCCCATGGCCGCCGCGTGAAGGATGCCCTGGCGCCGGGTGGCGAAGGCCAGAGCAGGATGGGGCCAGGCCAGTGCAATTGCCATGTGGGCTCCTCATACTGCAGCATCGAACAGGGCCACCGAAATGGCCCCCTGTATAGGGGTGGAGAGTGGGATCTACTGTCCCCAAACTAGTCAGGACTTGACCTGAGAGAGAGGAAACAAAAGCAGGGGGCGGGGGAGAGGGGTAATCGGCCAGGTGATGCTTACTGCCCTCGGAAGACAGTAGGATGACTTAGTCTCCCCCCCAAAGAAAAAGGGGAAACCTCTTTCAACCAGTCTCCGCACTACTAGGACACATCTCGTTTCCTGCTCACAAAGCAGAACAAAGGACCGACAGTGGTGAGCCAACATTTGTCCCAGCTAGAACAGCGGTTCTCAACCTGTGGGTCGCGACCCCTTTGGGGGTCGAACCACCCTTTCACAGGGGTCGCCTAAGACCATCGGAAAACACATATATAATTACATATTGTTTTTGTGATTAATCATTATGCTTTCATTATGTTGAATTTGTAACAATGAAAATACATCCTGCATATCAGATATTTACATGACGATTCATAACAGTAGCAAAATTACAGTTATGAAGTAGCAGCGAAAATAATTTTATGGTTGGGGGTCACCACAACATGAGGAACTGTATTAAAGGGTCGCGGCGTTAGGAAAGTTGAGAACCACTGGTCTAGAACAATCAAGATGACTTCGCAAGTTGCAGCTCATTCATGCGAGAGTGTGACTCAAAGGAATCATCAATTCTCTTGGTGCGTGTGTTCAGGCAAAATGTATAAGTATTTACCTTGCCATCAGCCCCAAATGACGAAGCGTGTTTAGAGCCCCATACTCCCCTCTGTTTTTTTCCGGCTTTGTCTCAAATCCTAGCTGTAATATGAAGAGCACTTAGAGCTCTCACACATGAGTGTGCAAACACACACACACACACGCCTCCCGGTCAGTGGTCAGTGCTGCTTATTTAGTGTCTGTTCCCTCTGCTATTAGTTTGAGGGGCAGCAGGAACAGACACAGGAGAGATAAGGCCTTGACAGAAGGCAGGAGAAATGGTCAAGGTCCTAAAGGTGGGCTCCCGCCAGGGACAGCCTGTCAGCGAAGGGCCCACGTCAGCCAAGACACTGCGTGACTGTGTAGAAGCACTGGCCCGGCTTCCTTTTCTGGCCTGGGCATCACCTCCAGTGCTCATCGCCCTTTACCGACCCGAGTCATGCTCTTGTCGTTCTGCCTTTGCACGTGGACAGCTTCGGCATGGGGGTGGGGGTGGGGGGGCACGTGTAGCACTGATGTCATCAACACCCACCTGCTAGGGTTGTGTCAAAGCTCAATTGCCAGCGACCCTCGCTCTACGTGCGGGTGGGCACTCTGGGTGTTCCCCCTCACCCCACGCCTTACAAGGGAGCCTGCTCCTGACAGCTGAACGCGTGCCTCCTCGACTCGCTGGGACCAGAGCCCAGTCCTCCCCATGGGGTGTGGGACCCTGTCTTTCGGGGCCTCTCCTGAGTGTGGAGTGAGTGACATCTGCTTCCCAGGCATTTCTCAGCCCTCCGTCCACACGCACCGCTGCTAGCCTGGGCTCGTGCGGGTGGCGGTGGCACAGGGGCCTGGCGGTCTCCTCGCTGTCTCCTGCGCTCAGCGACACGCAGCCCCGGTCGCTGGTACTTTGGTGCCTTGACACCGCTCAAGGGGACACCCGGGCACCTCCTGCCCATGGCCACGTCCCTGTCTAAAAAGAAAGCAGGCGAGATCCACGTTGCTTCATCCATCCGCCGGAGTCCTGTTTGCAGCATGTCCGTGCTTTAGTGGCGGGGGAAGGTGTATGATGCGGAGCCCAGCAAGCCCCAGGAGCTGGGCGGGGTGCGGGCAGGCAGCAGCCAGGTGAGCGGGCAGGCCAGCCTGGAGGCCCGCAGGGGCCTGGACACTCCCACTGGGCTGGGAAGACTGACCGCTGTGACCTCTCAAAATGTTGATCAACAACGAGGGGCCGTGGGTGCAGTGAGGGCAGGCTGTGGCGACAGCTCCAGTGTCCTGGTCATTGTCCCTCCTCCCCAGGGGCCCCAGGAAGAGGGGCAGGGACACAGGCTCAGTAGACACTGGTGTCCCCTCCCTGCTCGACACACAGGGCAATGCCAGCCGGACACATGTCTGCGTGGAACAGAAATGGGGGTGTTTCTCCCCTTTGCCTCCCCCTTACTGTGTGGCAAGCACGTTACAAACACCAGCTCACTCAGTACCCAGGTAGGAGGCTCTGAGGAGGCTTTTCAGATGGGAAATTGAGGCGTAGAGCGGTTTAGAGACCTCCGGGTTAGTGAGAAGGAGGTTTGCATGTGACCCCAGATGTGTCTAGTTCTGGGTGCCCATCAAAGCATAATTTTCCTAATGAAACTTCGCCATGTGCTCACTACACGAGTGTATGAGAATTATGCAGCAGGTCAAGTTAATTTCTTTCTGAGGGACCCAGGAGATGACAAGACGGGTTGAAAGGAGAACAGAAGAAACACGGACGAGGAAAAGGATGGTCGAGAATTATGGGATACAATTATTGTAAGATGCAGAAATGCTTAATAACTTCGAGGATCTTCAGACCATAATCTCTACCAGACAAAAGTACTTTCATCTCGTCAGTTTCCAGCAGGTTAGCAGCTGCGTTTCTGGAGTCGGCACTCATCCATAGTTAAGTCTGGGGAGCGAGAGCCAGCTTACCGGACGCTGCCTTGTGCCGCACCGCAAGGACAGGCAGCTGCTTTTCTGGCCTTATTTCTAAGTTTCGGATTGCTGTTGTGAACAGTCAGTAACGTCCACCATTCCTTGAAATTCCCCCGTTTCTCTCGCCCTAATTCTTTCTCTTTCCGACCCTCATCAGTAAGGAAAATGGATGTGACATTATGAACTTTTTACATTGAAAAAAAATCTGGACAGAATCCTGAGGTGATGGGGGACCTGAGTGTCCCTGAAACCCCGGGACTAGGGGCCCCTTTAGCTCTCAGGTAACTGGGCTGACGGCCACATGTCCTCTGGCACCGTTCCCGGACCTTCAAGCCATAAATAGCCACTAACGGACCTGCAGACATTCCCACCCATCTCTCCTCACCCGACACTCCGTTACAAATGAGCTGGCCTGTGATGGAACCCAGGCCCAGGTGGGACACAGCTGGCGACCAAGAATTTGTCAGCTAGACTGCAAGCAGGCGAGAGCTTCAGCCTGGAAGACGTGGGTCCCTAATGAATCAGGGAGACCCCAGCATCGAAGCCTTCACGCAAGGCACGTGCATAAATCCCTGACTCGCAAGCATCCCGCAGCCGGTGTTGCCGGCATCTGGAGTTGACAGCTTCCTGACACAGAGCCATCAGGTGCCTCTGAGGGAAGCCCTGGCTTTCTGATCACATGGAGATTTGTGGATATGGCAAATAGCCTAAAAGAAACCAGCCCCCTGGCTGCTGCGGCGAAGCGAGGTGTCGAAGACGAAATGACCTAAAAGCATTTCATTGAACTTGACTGCAACAGTGTCCTGGTTGGGAACTGTTCCCCTCATACAAGCCCCACCTTGGAAGGGTGCACACCTACACACAGGACACACCGTGCAGGTCGCACATCTGGGATGCTGCCTATACAAGTGCACAGCACAGCTACATGCTGAGGCTTATCTGAGGGCATGACTTTTCTGGAAGGTTCCATACGTTCAAGCATGGTGGTGGAGGAAGCACCATCGCCCTTCAGTGTCGTGACCTTGGACCTCAAATTTAGGAATAAGTGAAAATGCATCAGGGCCAGCAAGAAGTCCCCCCGCCACCGACACGCTTGGAGATCTCAGTGACTTGTTCTCTGCTGTCTTAGGTGCTGCAGGAGTGAGGGTTGGTCATTCGCACGTTAGTGAGTGTGACTAGTGACAACATCACTTGTGGGAAACACCTAAATAACAACCTAACCCAGTCCCCGTTGTGTAGGACGGTGGTCATGGCATTTGTAAAGAAGGGCCCATTTATTTTTGTTCGAAAAAGAGAAAAGTGGCCCCGGCTGGGTAGTCAGTCGGTTAGAGCATCGTCCCAATGTGCTAAGGTTGCGTGTTCGATCCTTGGTCAGGGCAAATACAAAGATCAACCAATGAATGCATAAATGAGTAGAACAGCAAACCGACATTTCTCTCTCTCTCTCTCAAAAATCAATAAATTTTTTTTTATATAAAATAAAAATAAAAAGAGAAAGCAACATTCCACTTACCTTGAAAGCAGAACTGTGACGCCCAGCTCAGGGCAGGCAGGAGAGCATCACAGCGTCCTTAAGTGGGGCCCCCTTGGCAAGTCCGACCACAAGAAAGAGAGAGACTGTTACCAACCAGAAGGGGTCCGTTCACTTGTGTGCATAAAAGCCAAAGCAAATGCGAACAGAAGTGAACAACCCAGAAAATTACAGTTTACTAGTTGAGAGATGGTGCCCACCCAGACTCACAGGTGACCTCGTGCTCAGAGGCCTGGCTCCCCGACGGCGTCCAGGGGAGGGCTGTATAGAAGGGGAGTCACTCATCGGGGTGGCTGAAGGAGGCAGGGTCGTGGGCTCTACTGACGGGTGGGGCCAGGGCAGCTGATCACTGCAGCAGGTCCTGAGGTCAGCCATGGCGTTGTGCTGTCTGGTTTCATGAAGGGGTGGTCCCTAGGGTCTTTCCGCTCTCGTGGGCCTGGGGCGGACACAACGGAAGTCCAGATGTCACCTGTAGCTTGATGGAAACTCTGCGTGGCCAACAGGCCTGAGGCTTTGTCCTTAAGACAGTGTGATGCTGACCAGAACCCGACGTCCGAAGGGCTTGATGACTAAGGAAGGGGGTGGACGGGCAGAAAGGAGGCATGGTCATGGCAAAGAAATGGCGCTTCAGCGAGGTTACAGGACCAGAACCTTCTCTGGGACGGTGCAGTGAACAAAGTGGATGTGGACACTCAGAAGGCCCGGTTGGGCCAGTCTCAGATCTGGGAGGCTTTGCCTAACTCCCAGCATCCTCTTTGGTCCGTTTCTTCATCTGCAAAGTAGCCACATGCTTTTCGGTCGGGACGCTCCTCACCGGAGCTCCAGACTTTGAAGGCGTGGCCGGCCGCAGCCTGGAGTCTGTACGTGGAGAAGTGAAAACGCCTCCGTTTCACGGTGCTGCCTTTGCCGTGTCTCACATCAGCTTTCTTGGGTTTGGTGGGATTCTTATAAGAGAACAAGAACCGTTTCCCCAAGATCAGTTGGATTAAGCAGAATGTGCTGTGGGCTGTTGAGATTTTTCAGAGTTTTCAGTGATTGTGTTCAGGGTGACGGGGTTGGTCCCGCCTGGGTTTGGGTCCCATACACCTCTCACTAGCTGTGTGATGCTGGCAACTGTATTGAACTCTTTGTTCAATACATACCTACCTTAGAGGGCTGTTGTGAGGATTACATAAGATAATGTCTATAAAAGCCCTCAACATAGCACCTGACCCAGAGAAAACTGTCATTCATAGAGCAATTACTATTATTATACACTCAACTGACAGTTTTAAAGCACCTACTGTGTGCTGGATACTAGGCTAGAGCTAGGAGAGTGAGTCACCACCCCTAGGGCAAAAGAATTTCACGATTTAGAGAGTGAGAAGGACACACATACTTGGGCAACTACAGTCAACATGAAAAATCATAACCAGAGATGAACCTGGAGTGCCCTGTCAGCGCCCGAAGGGCCACCCGGCGGGGCCCGGGCATCACGGTCAGCTTCCCGAAGAGGCAGCACCTCCCCTGAGACCTGGGGCTGGTCACGTAAACCACTCTGTCTGGACTGCTGTGAGGCCACTAGCTTCCCCTGTGGATGCTAGACCCGGGCACAGCAGGCTCTGAGGACACCTAGCCTTTCATTCCTCATGTCCCAAGGGTGGAGAGGCCACACCAGGAGAGACCAGGCCACAGTGCGTGTGTGTGTGTGTGTGTGTGTGTGTGGTGTGCATTTAATAAAGCTGCTTTTCAAGAGAAATTAGGCATTCCACCAGAGTGTTAATTATTAACCCTTGTAGAGTCCAAGCGAACCAATTAGCTCTCATTTCCTCTCCATTGCTTCAGTTTGTATCAGTTACTACTATTACCACCATCAGCACCATCGTCGTTGTTCTGAGGTACTGGGCAGAGCCAGGGCTGAGGAGGAAACTCGGGTGGCACACGCCACGTAAAGGCTTTTTTCTTCCCTCCCTGACTCCAGTTTCCATCACCAGTTCCTGGTCATTCCTGGCCCAGCCTCGAGGGCTAACTAGCTTTGGTTTTACCTGAGTACTCTGGCCAAGAGGGGGGATTTTTCCTGGGACCCACAGAGGTGTGGTCACTGCAGGATTCCCTCTTTGTCCACTGGAGCTGACCCCTCCTGCGTCCCCACAGGACAAGGGTCCCGGAGTGTCTGCTGATGTCAGGCCCTGAACATGGGCCGTGGTGAAGTTTGCTCTGGCCCATCAGTGAAAACACAGTCTGGGGTTTTAGTTAGAGGCTTCCCGACCGCCCAGCAGTGATGGGACCCCCCTTAATTAAAGGGTTGCTTCTCATTTTTCTGCCCCCCTCGACCCCATGCCAGCAGGTGGCGGGGGCGGCGCTATCAGAGCATCCCTGCCTGTGACCACGCCTACCACCCTTTGGACATGACGGGCAATGCCACAGCAGCCAGAGACGAGTGGCCCATCCACATGCCCTCTGACCCTTGTCACCAAGGTGCTGGACCGGTGTGTCTTGGAGCTGAATTCCTGCTTCTCCCCGCAGATCCCACCCTGTTCATTTTTCACCATAGATTCTGCATTCTTTTGTTTATTTTTTATGTTGCATATTATTCTGTACCTGTTTCAGAGGCACAGCACAGCTTAGACAATCATGTCCTTTAGAGAGTCCCCCCCCCCCCCCATATTCCAAGTACTCCCATGTCCCATATCGCCTTGTCATTTAGAGCCAACTGCCTTGCCGGCCCTCAGGGCGGGTTTGGGAATGCCGATGCCTGCCCAGGGGCTGGGAGCTGGGTGAGAGTGGAGATGGTGGGGCCTCTCTCAGCGCTGACTCTCCCCCTGCTGCCCCCAGGAACGGCCGCGCCGACCTGGCCGCCATATACCACGAGCGCATCGACGTGGAGGGCCACCACTACGGCCCCTCGTCGCCGCAGAGGAAAGACGCCCTGAAGGCCGTGGACACTGTCTTCAAGTACATGGCCCAGTGGATCCAGGTGACCGAGAGCAAGGCCCCTGGCTGCCCTCCCTCCTGTCACTCTCCATCTGTCTCCTTGACGATCACACCCCTCAGCATCTTCTCTCCTGCTGTTGAAGCTGACAGGCCAGCCCCAGGCTGTGGGAAGTCCATCTTCCTCACACACCCCTCCTTGGGACCGAGAGACCCCTTGTTTTACAGCCAGGCCCGGGGGCGGGAAATGACTGGCATTGTCAGCCTGCTCAGCTGGTGAGATGGCCTATTCTGCATGAAAGCCGATGTCTGGGAGCCCGGCTGGGCTCTGCCCCTCGTTTGCCACGGCCTGGCTGAATGACTTTAGGCAAGGCATTATTTTTCAGAACTTGGCTGGGCTGTAGTTTGCACATCTGTGAAGGGGGGAGGGACAGTTCTGTTACCATGCAAGTTGAAAGAGCCACAGATGACAGCAGTGAGGGCACTTTGCTGGGTGAAAGGCCATATGTGCCGTCTTTAGCACCATTGGAATGGGGCTCAGGTGCCACCCCTCCCCAGAGTGCTTCTGCCCAGTGTGAACTATCTTCAGGGAGGGAGGCTAGATGATGAAATTCAGACTTGGTTACGTGTCCTTTCTTCTACAATGTGTAGCTTAAAATACCTCCCTCCCCTCCCCCTCCCCTTCTCCCCGCTCCCTCTCCTTTTCCCTCTCTTTCTCCCCCTCCTCCTCCCCTCCCCTTCTCCCTCCCCTTCTCCCCTCTCCCTTTCCCTCTCTTTCTCTCCCTCTCCCTTCCCCTCTCCCATCTCCCTCTCCCCCCTTCCCCTCCCTCTCTCTCTCTCTACCTGTCCCTCTCCCTCCCCTCCCCTTCCCTCTCTCCCTCTCCCTTTCCCCCTCTCCCTCTCTTACTCTCCTCCCTTTCCCTCTCTTTCTCTCCCTCCTCCTCCTCCTCTTCCCTCCCCCTCTCCCCTTCCCCTCTCCCCCTCTCCCCTTTCCCTCCCTCTCTCTCCCTTTCCCTCTCTTGCTCTCCCTCTCCCTCCCCACTCCCTCTCTTCCCTCCCCTCCCTCTCTCTCTCTGTCCCTCTCCCTCTCCCTGCTGTGATGACCACCTTTGTCCACCCACAGGAGCGGGAGCTGCAGGACAAGCTCAATGTCATCATCTTCTCCGACCATGGGATGACCGACATCTTCTGGAAGGACAAAGTGATTGAGCTGAAGCAGCACATCAGCCTGGCGGACCTGCAGCAAGTGAAGGACCGCGGGCCCCTCGTGAGCCTCTGGCCAGCTCCCGGGAAACACGCTGAGGCAAGAGCACAAGACACAAGACGGGGAGGGAGGTGGACGAGGGAGGGGAGGGGATAGAGTCCGGCCACCACTCCTGCTTGATCTTTGTCCTGCAGCAGCTGGTGACCTCCATCGCGGTTTCAGCCTCCCCTGCCTCTGTTTTCTCTTCTCTAAAATGGGCGTGCGGGGACCTACCGCACTGACCTTCAGTGGCAACCGGAGGCGAGAAGGGGTGCCCAGTGCTTCGCGGGCTGAGTGTTTAGCCCTCAACGGGCCTGCTGTACCAGCCCGGTGCTCACCTGCCGGGCAGGGTCAGAGGCACACGCAGATGTTCTTTCTCTGGGGGCAGTCCCGTCGGACTGTCCCTCAGGGAACTGGAGACAAGCAGGCGAATGAGCCGCTGAGGCCGGGTGCGCTGTGCGTCAGCTCCTCAGTGCAGGATCCACTCTGCTGGGTCCCATCCAGCTCCGTCATAACCCGGCATCTTCCCAGCCAGGCCCCTCTGTCCACGCAGCTCAGCTTCCGCCCGGGGCTGCTGGAAGCACGGGGCATGCTGGCCGCTGCAAGGACAATACACGTGTCACTCACTGTGATCACCACCATCCAGGGGGTGCTCCCACGAGGGTGAGGCTGTGATCACCACCATCCAGGGGGTGCTCCCGCGAGGGTGAGGCTGTGATCACCACCATCCAGGGGGTGCTCCCGCGAGGGTGAGGCTGTGATCACCACCATCCAGGGGTGCTCCCGCAAGAGTGTGGCTGTGATCACCACCATCCAGGGGTGCTCCCGCAAGAGTGTGGCTGTGATCACCACCATCCAAGGGGGTGCTCCCGCGAGGGTGAGGCTGAGCTTCCACATGTGCAGGTGTGGCACCCTCTCGCTCCCCCGTCACTGCCCTCCAGGGACCTGGCACCCTGAGATAACAGGCCTCTGCCTACCCTTCTCCCCAACACCGATTACATCTGGAGAACCTGGTGCTGAGGCACCCTGAGAAAATGAGGAGGAGCAGGTGGCACCATCGGGTGACCGCTCGGCCCCACGTGGCCTGGCCGCCTCCCAGCGTAAGCTTCGGGCTCCTGCTGGCTCCCAGAGAAGCTGCTCTGGGCCAGGACGAGCGCCTTCCTGGGGAGGCCCAGCTGCGGCCTAGGGGGGAGCCCGCCGTGGGTGCCAGGAGTAGGCCGTGGCGGGCCTGGTGCCTCCCCCATGCTCACAGCAGCGAGACACTAGCCAACGGGTGCTGGGGGGTTGTTGGAATTGATGGAGCGCAGGGGTGGACTGCGGCCTCTTCTCTTTGGCCCAGAGACCCCTCTCCCCACCCGCCCACCCCATCGGAGTCTGAGAGCTGTAAGTGTGGGGCTGAGGGACCAGTGGCCCACAGCCCCCCCTCCCCAGCGCTGCCCCTCCCCCGGCGGACAGGCCTTTTTCTCAGGAGGGGAAGACGTGTTTGCACAATGTCCCATGAGCTCCCTCAACACAAAACGGGGAGAATATCTCACGCAGGGGCAGGCGCCACAGTGACTGCTTCTTGCGGAGACGGCCCTCCCTGCACCTCCAACTTGGTGCTTAGGGAGGCGCCGCTTCCAGGATGCTTAGGCGGAGGCAGCTGCCTCACGTAGTTGGTAGATTATTCACAAGGGGGGGCCATGTTTGGGTGACAGTCTGTCATGTGATGCACACGACCGTGTGTGAGGCCCGCGATGTGTCCTTGGACGTTTCCCTTCTCCAAACGCTTCCTGCACATGCATCCACTTCCCCAAAGCGTGGGCTTTCTTAAGAAGGAAATCACGACGCACGGGGGCCATCGGAAACCCTCTGCCAAACAGCCCGAGGACTAATTCATTTCAGAGGCGAGTGGATAAACTCCAGTTTGCGGTCAGTTCCTCAGCGTCAGCCAGTGGGTTTTCGTTTTAGCCAGGAGCATGTTAAGCTGCTGCTAGATGTGGGGCCTGCGTACAGAGTTTACACGTCATCAGGGAACTCGCAGTGTAATTAGTGGCGGACAACTGGCACTTTTCAGATGCGAGTGGAGGTAGGACGTGCTCTAGGTCAAGTCAAAGAACAAATCCTCTTCCTTTGGTCGTGGTGGGATCCAATTTCTCATTCTCTCTTTAATTTTATTTTAGCCCTTTTGACATAAATAAGCTTTTGTAGTTTGTTCACTTGTTATTCAGTAGATGCCAAAAATTATTATAAAATATGTGTAAGGTGTGAAGGACACTATTACGACGGCACCTTGTATTCAATACACTGAGAAACAGCACAGTATGGTTACCTGTCGTGACTGACTCCTGTGTGCCCTTCTCAGACCCCATCACCCGTGCAGCCTCCTCAGAGAAAGCCACTGTCCTCAATTCCGAGTGCTCGTTTCCCTGATTCTCTTTATAGTTTTACCAAATATGGTCATTAGTTTTTGTAGTTACTTGAACTTTCTATAATAGGAAAACTCTTGTCTGTGTTCTTCTGCAACGTGCTTTGTGTGTGTGTGTGTGTGTCTCAGACTGAAATTCAGGTGTTCTGTGTAGCTGTAATCCGCTCCTCTTCGTTGCTATATAATATTTCACTGCCATTTACCCCTCGATCCAGGTATCTCACTGTTGCTAGGCTTTTGGGCTGCTCCCGTTTGCAGCACGTATCCCTCCACCGACCTGCAGGCGCACATGTACCAGGGTTCTCACTTACCCCTAGGTCATGGGCATGTGGATCTCCAGCCTTACAAGGTAAACCCCCTTGTCTTCTGAGACATATAGAAGTTTCTCTTTTTGACAGAGTCAAGTCTATCAGCTGTTTGAGGAATTTCTTTTTTCTTTTTCTTTTTAGTCTTATAAAGTCCTCCGTCTCCTCCAGGTGCATTAAATATTCACATTCGTGCGACAAAGGATGCAACCCCAGTCACCCCTGGTTTTCTCTGCAGATTTACAACAAGCTGCGGACGGTGGAGCACATGACTGTCTACGAGAAGGAAGCCATTCCCAGCAGGTTCTACTACAAGAAAGGGAAGTTTGTCTCTCCGCTGACCTTACTGGCGGATGAAGGATGGTTCATAACTGAGGTAATTAGAAAATATCCGACAACTTATGCATCAGACAAATGCTGCCAAACAACGACAGGTACTAGCTCTTCAGCCTTTACACGGAAGAGATTTTGTTTTCACTTAGGTGTCGTTCATAACACTATTTCCTTCTTTAGAGACTCAGAGGCTTGGTTGGGTGACTTCTATTTGTTTATTTATTTTTTGTTAATCCTCACCTGAGGATATTTTTCCTGTTGACTTTTAGAGGGAGCGGAAGGGAGGCCACTGAAGGGGCAGGCCTACGACTAGTATTTTAGCTGCCGGAAAGACCTCGTGTGGTGGTCAGCAATATCGACCATGCAGATGAGCAGACGTGGGGCCTGGGTGTGGAACAGTGGGGTTCCCGGACAGGGAGCTGTCACCCAGAGGACTGAGTCATCCCTGTGCGCTCGCAGACAGAAAGCGGCTGGTCACCAGGAAACGGAGCAGACCTGGTCCCACATGCCAGCGGTGCGGTCCCAGGCCAAGCGGGGCCCTCCACAGACTGGCCTTCCCACGTCTTGTCGTTTCAAATGCCGCCGAGGGGGTCCCACCGCCCCTCCCGCTCTCTCCTCTAAGAGCCAAGTGCTTCTCTCCGCTTGCTCACCGTTTGGAGCTCCCTGGAGTGCGATTGCCCGAGGCCCCAGCAGCCTCACTGGAGTGGGTTTCCCAGGGCTGCGCGTCGAACACACATGCCGTCTCGTAGGTGCCTAGCCCATTGACCCCATGGAGCCAGCTTCCCGAGTCACGCAAAAGGCCTTGGGCTGGACACTTTCCAAGTTAGAAAACTCTAGAATTTCGTTTGAGTGTTTAAAAGCAAGTAATCAAGGAGGGTTAATGCACAGCTCGCCCCCTCTCATTCCTTAGCCCGGCTTCTCAGGCCTGTGGGTCCAGCGTCCGTGGCAGGGGAATCTTCTTGCTGGTTTAGCCACAATCGGGAAAACGGCTGAGCCAGGACAAATCGATGCTGGTTGGGGGCCAGTAAAATAGAATCCCTCCCCCTTCCTCCCTGCAGCCGCATGCCGCAAACATGCATGGTTTTGCTTCCTTGGCACAAACGCCTTTCCCGTATAAATACCAACTTTTTGCCACCAGCTTAAGTTTTGCAGACTCGAAGCAGGTGGCTGCTCTAACAGGAAGACTTAACGGAGTCAGGTTTTTTTAATGGTCTCTTAGAGCAGTGGTTGCCAACCAGTGGTCTGGACCACGGGTGGTCTGTGAGGTCCGAAAGGTTGGCGAGCGCTGGCTTAGAGTGCTGTCACTGAAAAAGATACAGATGGGGAAGCAGGTTTAATTTGTCCCTCAGCACCGCACAGCTTCTCAGTGCGACTGCTGACCTAGCTCCACCCCACACAGCCCCCCCACAGCTTGCTTCCTGCCCCCACCCCCGACCCCCCACCCCCAGGCCTGCCCTCAGAGGTCCTGGTAACATCATCATCCCAATGAACAGTCAGTACAGTCCCTGGAGGGCCCTCTCCTGAGTCCCACCTGTCCTTTAGCCCAACTCAGATTCCATCTCTTCCATGAAGCACCAGCTCGTCCCTAACGTCCTCTCCCTGGAGTTCCCGTGAAGCCCTGGCCACACCCCAGCTGCTAGGTGGGTTTGCCAGCTTTTGTTCTCTGGCCTCCTGGAGTGGAAGCTCCTTGAGGTCAGGTCTGTGGCACCTTGACGTTCCGTTTTCCTCCACGGGAATGAGAACATGGCCAAGGCCGAGGACTGACTTCCTCAATCCGAAGGCGATGAATTGAATGTGGAGACGGTTGGTTCTTGGGTCGGCAGGATGTTCACCTGGTGGCTTGTAAATCCGAAGCCAAGTAAACTGAGGAGTTAAGTCAGGCCTTTGACTTAGATTACTGTTCGTAGCCCAGCGAGACTGCAATGGGGAGCAGGCGTTGAAAGCGCCACGGGAACTCCCCTGCTCCCGTTAGCAGGGCGCCTATCCGGTCCCTCCCAGCTCCCCGGGCTGATTCCTGCGGCCTCTTCACACCCCCCTTCCCCGCCTGGCAGGTGTAAGAAGGGGCCAGATGTGGCCAGAACCTGGCGAAAGACCATGAAACACAGTGTCTCATGGTTGACCCTCGGAGGCAAGGGAAATGCAGTGAATTCAGGCCAAGCGTCTCAGGGAGGCCAGGACGTGTCACCAGAGGAAGGATTTACTTTGAAAACTGGCAAAGAGTATGCAATGCCAGGTTCAATTCTAAGGCCCAAGGATGAAGGGCAGTTAGGCTCAGAACATGGGGGAAATCAAGACGATCTGGGAGGCAGTGGCAGCCGGAGTGGCGTTGTGCAGGCCTGGCTAATTGAGCTCCCAGAAGCGGGTGTTGAGTGCTGGGAGCTGCTGGCTTTCTGGTGGTGACGAGGGTCGTCTGTGTCAGCCGTCTGAGCACACAGGCCTGCCCTCTGCACCCCTGGCACACGTCAATAAACATGATGGGGGCAGGGGGCGTGCGGAGAGAAACCCCATCCACACCCTCCCTCCCCCCTCCCCCAGGGAGCTTGGTTCCTCTCCACCCGCTGGCTTCCCTGTCTGGCATTTCTCATTTCCAGGATTAGGCTGTGTGTGGCCATGGGCTTCCCAGGACAGACCAGGGCCAGAGCCTGTACCATTTGTTCTGCTTTAGAAAGAGGGCGCCGTCTGAGACAGGGGCAGAGAGACAGGCAGAGGGACATCTCCTTGCAGTGGCCTGTGGCAAACACACATCTGAAGGCTCATAGCCACCACCCACAGGGCCCCAGGAGCCTCGCCAACAGGGGGCCTCTCGGGAGAGCACGTAGAATGGCGATGCCACAGACTCTGAGCGACAGTGGTCCGTAAGGGAAACCACACTCCCCAGACCCCTCACACACCGAGGTCAGTGCTCACCTTTTTATTTATTCTAACCTGACCGGATTCGGGTCACCGAATTTGATTGGCATGACCTCAGGCCGGCACCGAGAGCAGATGACTCTCCATTGCTCTCGCTCCTTCCAGCAGCCTGGTTTATTGGCTGCCTTCATCTGTGGCTTTTCCCAGGTGAGCTCACACAGCCCTCCCTGCCTCGAGGAGCCTCAACCCAACTGTTCCCAAGGATCCCAATGCTGGGGGACCTCCGTACCCAACAATTATTTTTTTATAAGAGCTTCCCGTGTGGCCTCTGAGTTCCCATGGCTACACACAGACACACACCCCAGTCCTACCCCATCTCACGTTTGGCCAAATCGGAAGAGTCTGGGCACTTCCCTAGGATGTCACCAGCTGGGGGTCAGGCTCCTTGACCGGCAGCTGGCGGATGGGCAGCCCGGGGGTTCGCGCTCTGGAGCAGGTCTATGAGCCACACCTTGCTAGCGCTGCCTCCCACGCAAGCACCGGGAGGGGGATGTAGGAACCGTGGGACGATGGGGAAAGCCGCTCGGTGGGAAGGAGGAGCAACAATCCTTCCTTCAATGCTCTACACGTCACACATTCCATCAGGTCACTTACAGGAATGGCCAGCTTCTTGCAGAAGCAGCCGGGTTATATCACCACGTTTGAAAGTCAGTGAGAACAGTGGTCCCTGGAACGGATTGTCACTGTCATAGAAACTAGTGCGTTTCCCTGTGACCCGGTGTGTTTGTATTTGTGGAATTTCGACTGGAATTTTTTAATCGGGTCATTGGTCTCCGTCTCCCTTTCCCCCGTGCCTCTGTCTCGGCGTCCTCGTGTCCTGTGGGGCTCATAACCGGGGAAGTCGCTAGCAACCCAGTGTCCTACCTGGCGTCCAGGAATCGCGGCCCCCTGACTGCGACGAAACTAAACTGGGGCACATCCTGATCATCAGATCAGGATCTGACAGATAAGGAACAGCAACAGTCTAGCAAGTCAGAAATGCAAGATGTGAGGAAAGTATTCCCATGGAAAAACACGAGCTGCAGCTGGAGGAGGGGGGACAGGGGTGACGGAGATTCAGGAAACGGAGAGGCAGTGAAGTAGTGCCATTTGGCAAGCAGTCATGCCAGGGGCGATTTATGGGCTGAGAGGGGATGGTGTGCAATGCGATCTGACAGCTAAATACGCAGAGGCGAGCTCAGGCCTCACCCGATCCCTGCCCGGCCGGCATGGCCAGAGCGCCTTGCCCCACTGCCCGTGCATCTGGGACCGGCCACAGCCATTCACTGAGCACCTGCCGTGTGTCAGGCACTGAGCACGCGGCCATGTCATCCTCCAAACACTCTCGAGGCAGGTGTGTGGCTCCGCAGGGAACCTGAGCCTCAGGTGGATCACGGGGCTAGGAAGTGGCAAGGTGAGACTTAGCCCACGGCCACCAGTTCCAAAGTCTCTCTCTCTCTACTTTATAACTGGCCGCCACTCCGGGGAGTGAGGAGGCAAGGGACAGGGAGGGCCTCATGTCCAGGGCCTGCAGGAGCGCTCAGGGACCTCTGGCCGTGGTCAGTGTACGGTGCGTGAGGACGGGAGACAGGTGACCTGGGTTTCAGTCCCAGCCCTGCCTCTCGCGGCTTTAAGAACAGCAGTTCCCCTTGCCCTGTGTGCCTTGGTTTCTTCAACTACAGAGTAGGGACATACCATCCCTGCTGGGATGCTGTGGCGATGTGGCGAATGGCAGTGTTGGTTCTTGGTGAACCGCATGGCACGCTGACTACATGGGACTCTTAATAGTCTTGTGCGCCGGCCTGTGCATTGCTGGTATGTGAGCTGTTTTACTTCTACTCCTTCACCACAACCAGCCAATTCTACCTACTGCGTTTGAACTTTCTGGGATATTGTACCTGCTTAGTAAGAGGATGGCTGGGCTCCCAGGAATGAGTGTCCAGTGGGCCATGAAGGGCTCAGTGTGTCCGCCTGGCTCTGGCCTCCTCAGGACTCACCTTCACGCCTTCTGTCTCATAAGAAAGCACCTGCAGGAGAAGAAGATGTAGTTCTGGAGGGAAGAAGGGTTTCAGGGGAGGGTGGTCCTGGAACCCATCCCCATGGGGGAAATGAAGATTACGATGCCTGGGTAAGAGGAGCGTGAGTGCCCCCTTCAAACGTGTCCCTGCATGGAGAGGAGGGGCTGAGATTCTGAGCTGCTCCGGAGGGCGGGCCAGAGGAAGGCAGGACAGGGCTGTGCGCGTGGCGGAAGGCGCACCAGATGGTCAGAGTGGACCACCTCTGGGCTCCAAGGGCTTTGCGAGAAAAGCGAGATGATTAGATTAGATGCCGTGTTTCCCAGTAATTCTGACAGCAACTGGGTGTCCTGCAATTCCGTTCAATGCTGCTACTCACTGTCCCGAGTTAAGAGCAGCCCCCTCACGTGAAGGGCTCGATCCCACAGCCTGTCCTCCTTCAGATGGCAGCCAGAGTCCGGGGTCCCCAGCCTACACATACTTGTATTTGATTGGCTACAATGTGAGGCTTCTCACAACCCGCTTCCGGTTTGATAAGTCACTGGAATGAAGCTCAGAACTCAGAAAGGCGCTGCACTTATGATTACAGTTTTGTTCTAAAGGATACAACTCAGAACCAGCCCCGTGAAAATACGCCTCCTGGGGGGAGGGGTGCAGAGCATGCTCGGCCCTGTTGGGGGAACCCTCCCAGCACACCAATGAGTTCGTCAGTCAGAAGCTCCTGGGCCATGTGGTACCCGGGTTTCATACGGGGTGTCGCTGTGTTGGCAGGGGTGATGAAAGCAGTGGCCACGGGCCTGACCTCCACCTGAGAGGTCAGAGGAAGGCTGACAAGTCTAACCCTTTCCGCACAGGGCTGGTCCCTCCTGAAGCAACCAGTCCCTCCCCCAAGGTCAGGCCATTAGCCCAAACTCAGGTGAGGGAGCAAAAGGCTGCCTGTGAATAACACAAAGATCCTGTCACTCAGGAACGTCCAGGGGTGTCAGGAGCTCTGCGCCAGGGACCGGGGGTGAGGGCCAAATGTACTTTCTATTATCCCGCAGGAACACGTGATCATCTCCTCGGTCACAAACGTGCTATATTTAGTGATTCTGAAACTGATTATGGCCCTGGCCGGTTTGGCTCAGGGGATGGAGCGTTGGCCCGCAGACTGAAGGGTCCCGGGTTCTATTCTGGTCAAGGGCACATACCTCGGTTGCAGGCTGGATCCCGGCTCTGGTCAGGGCTCCTGTGGGAGGCAACCAATCCATGTGCCTCTCTCTGTGACTCTCCCCCTCCCTTCTACTCTCTCTAAAAATCAATGGAAAAATATCCCCGGGGGAGGATTAATAAAAACAAAACAAAACAAAAAAACACAACAACAAAATCTGATTACGAGGTGCAGGGTACAGTTCAGCTCTGAGGGAGAGAACACCTGCATGGCTAGAGCGGGTGTGGGCGGCCTCCAGGGGACTGAGCTCCCGGGGTAGGATGGCCCGATGCTGAGAAGGCAGTCCCACGGCTGCCAGGTGCTCGCTGACCACAGTGTCGGGACCCGGGAAGTAACTGCCTTGTTGGTTTCAGAGTCGAGAGCTGCTTCCGTTCTGGATGAACAGCACTGGCAAGAGGGCAGGCTGGCAGCGCGGATGGCACGGATACGACAATGAGCTCATGGACATGAGGGGCATCTTCCTGGCCTTCGGACCCGGTAGGCGTTCCCCAGGCCGCGTCCCCGGGGGCTCGTGGCGGAGGGCAGGCTGGCCGATTGCTTTATGAGCCACGTTGAGCAAACCCAGCCGGTCTCCGTGAAACATCTCTTGCTGGCTCGCTTTCAAATGCTTCTTGGGTTTGGCAAATGTGGCCGAATAGTTTTCCTTGTAAATTTTAAACCTTGAGTGCAGCCCGGAAAATGTGTTCCACATGTTTGCGATTCATTTTTCACTTAATTCATCAGAATGTGATTTCACAGCCATCCGATGTCCGGGAACGCTTACCGGACGCCCGGGTGCTGACAGCTGCGAGTTTCAGCGCTGGCGTGGTTGCTCCCCGGCCTGGCTCTCCACACTTCTTCCTTGTCGAGGGCACCCAGCTCTGCGGGGGTCACTCGTTTAGGGCAACCAGAAGCCAACCTGCGCTCCAGGGCAGCCTCGGAAATGACCCAGAGGCTGACTTTGAGAGTCAGCCAGGATGACGAGGGGGGTCTTGGATGAAAGCAAATGTACTGTGTCTTCCTCGACCAGATGAATTCTAAGGCGGGCAGAGAGCAGGGGTGAAGAGGGCCTATTTGGGCATTTGCTTTAATTATTCAGAGCACCGAAAATTCACATTTTGCAAAAGTTTATCAACACTCTGAGGATCATACTACTACCTGACACCCCCTTCTTTAAAAAAAAAAAAAAATTAGGATAGCCTAGCCAGTTTGGCTCAGTGGATAGAGTGTTGGCCTTCAGACTGAAGGGCCCCTGGTTCGATTCTGGTCAAGGGCATGTACCATGGTTGCAAGCTCCTCCCTGGCCCAGGCCCTGCCGTACAGGAGGCAACCAATCAATGTGTCCCTCTCACATCAGTGTTTCTCTGTCTTTCCCTCCCTCTTCCACTCTCTCTAAAAATTAATGAAAAATATCCTCTGGTGAAGATTAAAATAATAATAATAATAATAATAATAATGATAAAGAGCATTCAACAGCCCCTACCAGTCAGTTGACTGGCTCCTGAGCTATTCTCTTTCCCGCTACTGCCCCCCCTCCCTTCCCGGTTAAATACACCCAACCGACCCTCATACCCACATTCCAAATGCCCCTTTCTGGATGTTGATCAAAATGCTTCCATCCATGAAATCCACGCTTTCCTTTTAAAGTATAAGCTAGAGGTTACTCCTGGAAGCCCCGCTCTTCTTCCCGATGCAGCAAGACAAAGACGAGTATCAACCCCCTGCCGTGGCTCACTCCCCTTACCCCCCACACAGTTGCTGAGAACCCGAAGTGTCAGTGTCTGCACCCTCTGAGGGCCCTCTGGCAACCTGAGCTTAGGGAACACGTGGGTCCGAATCCTTTCCCACGTGGGATCCAAGTTCCCGATGCTGAAAGGAGAATCAGAAACAGTAGCAGCAAGCATTTATGGAGCCCTGACTGGGTCAGGACCTGGGCCCGGGGTTGGGGGGCGGGGGCGTGCAGAGGGTGTCCAGCATGTTGCCATCAACCAAGTAATAGCTCTCAGGTGCTCCCTGTCAGCCCGGCCCCTGCCAGATCCAGGCAGCTCAGAGCTGGATGAGTGAGTGATGAGACCCCGAGGACTCCTTGGAGGTCAACGGCTGGATTAGGCTGGAGACACTCCAGGGCCACAGCCTTTATACGGGAGAGCACCAGACAGCCGGGCTTTCGTTCAAAACCACCACCTCCCCCTTCCCCAGAGAGAAAAAAAGATCACGAATGCAAAACAGTTGTCAGTTGAAGGAGTGTTTATGAGCAAGGCCCGGGCATATTTTAAAGCAGAAGCAAACCAAAAATGTTAAACAAAATACCAAAAGCTGCATTAGCTTCGGGTTGAGTTCGGTGGGGGAGATTCTGTCCATTAGCAAAGGCCTCCATCCCGGGCTCCTTGACTACTAAAAGCCTGAGTCTTTTATAGACCGAAAGACGACCCCTGATGCAAACCGCCGGGGCTCGTTGCAAAAATGTTCCCAGGCAGATAGAGCCGGGAGAGCCCCCGCCAACCGTCCCATCTCCGCTTCTCATGAAAGATTGAACAGCTTTACACACGGGCTGTTTACTCAGAAGACAATTTAAGAGCAAGGCCATTAATAGCTCTCTCGCTGCACTTTGAGATAAAGGCACATCCTTGCTGATTAATTGTAGGTGCCTCTCGCTTAGGGAGGAGGCCGGGTATCCTTGTGGCTGCCCGCACGCAGGGTTGGAAGTCAGGGAGTCTGGCCCAGCTAAGAGAGAGGGAAATCATTCAGGAAGGTAGCCTGTCTCTGGTTAATCCCAGCTTCTAATCTGAACCACCTAATCCGGCCCCAAAGAACTCCAAGACAGCAGGCCTATGATTGAGTGAGCTGTGAGCGGACTCAGAGAACAGCCCTAGGTTGCAGGCACCTCTGGAGCCTGAGAACCTCCTTGCTTTGAGAGAAACAGTCTTTATATCTGAAAAATGTCAACCCCTGGGAATGCCTCAGATTCCCAGGCCGGTTCAGAATGCCACCTGGAGCTAGCAGAGCTTTGGCGGACGGAGTCCTCACAAATTGGGTGGGGTATGGTTTTGCTCTTCAGGAATTTTCCAGAAGCTCCCGTTCCAGCCTGAATCATTGGGCCCCACGTCCCAGCCCTGCAGAACAGGAAGCCATGACCCCGGTGGAAATGGAAAGACAACCGAGTTCTCCTTCCTGCTTATGGGCACAGGATTTGATTTTGTACTTTGAACATAAAAGGATGCTCTATCTCCAACACTTCTGTCTGCAGAGTTTATCTCAATGTTTCCGTCAAGAGTTAAAGAAGTGGGTGTTGGGAAGGCCCACTTTGGATTTACCAGCGTCTGCCACCTCCCACAGCCTCCCGCCCACACACACGGCAGGGGTGTGGCCCCCACGGGATGGGGCAGTGTGATCAGCACACCCAGGCTCACGGCAGGTCAGCAGGAGGGAGAGGACTTGCTTTCCCATCACTGGGGCGACCTTTCCATTGATTTCTTTGGCTGCAGAGGGATCACCTCTGGGGAAGTACAGCCACCACCTTTGTTTACGTGTACGACTTGCCTTGATAGTAAGAAGGGTGGCATCCCGGGGCAGCCTTACGCTTGCCTCTCCCGGGAGGTTCTGGATTTTTTTAAAAACTATTTGTCCCCCGAGACGATGCTGACTTTTAGCTTCCCTGCTCAAAAGTAAAGTGAGCCCTCCAGAGGCTGTATGGACTGCTTTCTATCCATCATTTGCCCTCGCAAATTCCACATGCCTGCTAATAGCACCAGCTACCACGTATTGAGCACATACAACGTGCCTGGAGCTACGATGAGGTACCATTTCCCTGCCCATTCCCCGAGGTCACCCAGCTAGGAGTGGCCAGCCCCACCTTCACAGGCCTGTGTCCCCGCTGGAGTTCGGGGCAGCGTCTGGGTTTCTGGAAGCACAGCCTGCCATCAGACCCCCGGCCCCTTCCCGGCTCTGTAACCCCAGCCTCAGGTTGCTTTTCCTCACGAGGCCGAGCTATTTTATCTGCCAGCGAAAGGCTCCAGGGAAGGCTCCCGTGGTCCTCCAGACATGATCAGGAAGCCATCGCTGTTGCTCTGAGTGCCAGCTCCAGGAGGCTGTATGGTCCACGTTCCAGCCAGCCCTGGGCCCTCTGGAAAGTGGAGAGACATTCTTCTTTTTTTAAATCCTCACCCAAGGGTATTTTTTCCATTGATTTTTCAGACAGAGTGGAAGGGAGAGATGAGGGGAAGAGAGGGAGAGAAATAGTGACATGAGAGAGACACATCGATTGGTTGCCTCCCCCGGGTGCCCTGACTGGGACTGGGGATCAAACCCCCAACCAAGGTATGTGCCCTTGACCGGGAATTGACGCCACAGCCCTTTGGTCCATGGGCTGTAACCACTGAGCAAACCAGCCAGGGCAAGAAATATCGTTGAGTTGCCATGGGATCTCTGCTGTAGAAATTGGCGCCCTGGCCAACCAGTGCCTGCTCGATAGGTGTCGGGAAAGATAAGAATACCTTTAGCGGGGTTTGGCAAGCCCAGCAGGACAGCTGAGCTTCTGGCCACAGCTGCGCTCAGCGCTCTGCAGGAAGGAGCAGCTGCAGGTGGCCCTCTGCCTCCCAGGAAGACAGAGGGCACACGGAGCACAGTTATGCTCAAGGTCAGCCTGGGCGGGGATTTGTCTCTTAAAGGAACTCAGCTCCAGGAGCCATAGAAAGTTACTTCCTTTCACAACCCGTGGCCTTCCGCACACTCCACGCCCCACGGCAGAGCTGGCGTTGCAATCCCAAAGCCACCGGGAGCCCAGTTGTGATTGCTCCACATGGGGACTCACCCCCCTCTGCCCGGTCACGGACTGTGATAACTTATTTGCTTGCCTGTGTCTTTCAGATTTCAAATCCAACTTCAGGGCCGCCCCGATCCGCTCCGTGGATGTCTACAACGTCATGTGCCACGCCGCAGGCATCGCCCCGCTGCCCAATAACGGGTCCTGGTCCCGGGTGGTGTGCATGCTGAAGGGCCCGGCCAGCGCGGCCCCGCGGCACCTGCCCGGGGGCTTGGCCCTGGCCTTGACGCTGCTCTTGCTCCTTCAGTAGCTGCTCCTTGTGTCCCAAACACTCAGACAAGGGGGCCTTCACGGGGGGAAGGTTTTATGTCCTAGTTGAATAATAGCTTCTTTAACACAATCAAGGCCACACACATTGAAACTATTTTATTCTTGGATGATTCTATACATAAAAATCCCTACTTCTTAAAAACAAATATCTGAACTTTATTTTTTTTCGGAAGATAAGGAAAATCTTGCTCTTAAACTTGTTCGACTGTATGTCAGTGTGTCCCTTCTTTTTCATTTGGAAATGCAGCTGAACTGTCTGAGCAAGGGCCTGTCGCTAGCAAACAGCCTTGTAGAGAATATTGTGTGAGAGTCCTGGACCCCACTCTGCCCCGCTCTGCACAGAGCGGCCCCTCGCCTGTGCCCCGTGCACACCCAGGAGCCCGCCTGGGGCTCTATGGCCACAGGTCCTGGACGGTGCCTTCCTTCCCAGGGAAAGGAGGCTCCCCATGACAGCTGTGGCCACCATCTGCGCCTGTCCCAGCTCATGGAGTTTTTCCATCTTCTACAAAAACCCCAAAAGCGTGTTATCTTAGCTTGGGCCACCCGTCAATCAAAATCACGAAGGATTGGAGAACTCAGAATAAGGCGGCAGGCATGACTTCCCTCCCAAAGTCGGGATGCATAGAAATGGCCCCCTCGCCTTGAGGAGCAGAAGGGCTTAGCGTAGGACGGGGCTTCTGCGTGACTTCTCACGGGGTATCACGGCCTGTGGCCCCGCCCGTAGCAGCCCCTGGGTGCTGTGGGGGGGATGGATGGATGGCCCACCGCCTGCCAGGGTGAAGGCCTTCTCAGAGACTACACTCTTTGGGTCACCACACACAGCATAGACTATAGCAACACCCGGCACACATTACAGCTGGGAAAGATATCTGGCTGATGAGCGAGTGGACACATGTGCAGAAATCTCAGTCCATTGCTTGGAATGGCGATGCATTAAGCATAAGATTTATGCGTCCGTGTGCTGGAGCTTTGCTTGTTAAACAACAACAGCAAAGTGGATCCCTGAGTGACCCAGAATTCCAAGGAAAATCGGGGTGGGGTGGGGGAGAGAACCTGATGGAATCAAACCCCCGTCACTCACCAAAAGGCCATTTGTTAGGAAAGTGGTGCAACCGCCACCTGCCAGACCTGCGGTCTTAGAGCCCCGAGAGGAGCCGCTGAGCCTGGTTGAAATGTTTTCAGTTAATCATCAAGCCGGGTGCAGGGGATCTTGCACACACAAGGGACAGCTGCATCTTTAAGTGATCGGAGTCATAGACACACGTCGTGGCATTAAAAATGACTTTGCGCTAAGCGAGGCGGATCTGCCGGTGCAACGTTCGTGTCAGGAAAACAACCTCGCGTCTCCTCGGGACGATGAAGCCCTTCCAGGCTGTTAATCTCAATGCTCACCCTGACTCCGGAAGGCGAAGCCAGCCGCCTCTGTGCCTTGAATCGTGGGAGCAGAGGGTCCCTGCTTCAAAACGTCCACTTCCTCTCCACACAAGCTTTCTAAGGGCTTACGTAACGTGTTTTTAGAATGCAGCGTCGGATCCAAGGGAACGCAGGCAAACCAGCCTTTGTCTGGCTGAAAGCAAATCAGTGCCCTCAACACTGGCAGCGGCTGTGAAGTGCGCACCTCTTGTTCCAGGTTCCTCTCTCCTTAAAGGACGGAGCGCTGAGGAATACCGCCCGGCCCACCTTCCTGTGAAGCAAGGACCCTGAAAAGTGGGTCATCAAATGAAGAGGGGTCTACACATGTATACCGTCTTGCATTTGTCTTTCATGCTCTATTCTACCCACCCACCCCTCATCCGCCCCCACACACACACTCATGCCTAAAACCTTCAAGTTACGTAATCAGATTTCAGATAGTTGTCTGACAAAGTGTAGTTACTCAGTAAATACTCCCGAAGCAATGAATGAGAATAAGGAACTTTTGGAATCATGACTATTGGTAACTAGTTAAGAGAATTCAGCCCCTAAATGGAGAAAAAGCTTTGTGCCTAAAAGAATGCATGCATTTTAGCGGCTAGATTCTTTGGCTAACGTCCTCCCTGCCCCCTTTAATTTTTGTTTTAAAGGTATATTCTTTCCCCCAGGAAAATTTTACTTTCTCTAAATGGTTTTGTTCCACAGAAGTAAAATCTGTGAGGACTACATACAGACAACCTTTTCTGGATTATTTTACTACTCCGTGGCTAATTCCAGGAGGATGATAGCGATAATCGGATTGCCCTGCCAATAACAAAGATAAAGGGAAGGAAGATCCTTAAATCGAAGAGATGAATGGCCACTTTCCCTGTCTATAGGCACCATCTCCAGAACCCAATCCAATTACGTTCTGAAGATGTAAGCATAAGTTAGAACAGGCCCGAAAAATTCTTTATCACCTTGAAGAGTTCTGAATGATAAAGTTCCAGCTCTCTTTACTCTTAAAGTGATCTGGGAAATCCATGTCAGGTCTCAGTTCAGACCCAGCCACCAGCTTGCATATGTGCTGGGATTGTAAGCATCCCCTGACCCACCCTCAGAGACATAGGCTGGCAGGACCTGGGTGGGGCCCCGCGCGTGTTACTGCAGTCACACTGATGGAAGGTCTGGGTTTGCTCTCAGCAGAAATGGTGCTGCAATGACCCTGGTAGACCTGAGTCTCCCGACAGTCCTTCATAACCCACCCGTTTCTCCTGGGGCCTCCAGCCCTCCTTAAACCAAAGCCGATCTGTTCACCCCGGTGAGGGGAGAGGAGCGAAAAGGCAGCGTGGGCCTCCCCACACCCCCTCCTCCCTGTGGGTCTACGATTCCCAGCGGTGCTATCAGACCAGCTCTTGTTCAAGACACAACTATTTTATGGATTTTCTAAGTGGTTTGCATTTCTGTAAATATCAGGGGATTTCCAAATATGATTGCATGTTTACTCTTTTTAAGCAATTCGTGACAGACCAAGTCAGCGCGGGAGGGTGGGCGTAGTCTTGGCAGACGGGTTATAGACATGGGGAACTTGGTCTCAGGTACATGCCATGGAAATACCACTTCTGTGTTGCTTTGAAATCATAAAATAGCATTGAGTGCAGTGCCTCAAATGTTTAATAAATGTCCCATAAATATGTGTTGAATGAGGAAAAAGAATAAATGTCATTAAAATGATTTGCTTACACCTCAGATATTCTCTGTCTTTAGTACCTCAAATTAAATAAACTTTACACATTGGGCTTGATTCCTTATCACCCAACCGGTAATTATACTTCATTCCATAAGCTAGACATATTCCAGCCCAGCCTTACACATTTGACAGAAAGAAGGAAGGAAAAAAGAATGGAAGGAAAAAAGGAAGGGGAGAGGGAAGAAGGAGAGAAGGAAGGAAATTAGGTTTTAAATATACTGAGCATATTTACTTTTAAAAAATGTAACAGCTTTATCGAGATTTAATTCACATGCCATAAAAAACTCCCAGTTAGCATGCTCATAGAACTCTGCAGCCATCACCACCATCAGGTTCAGAACCTTTTTATCAGCCTCAAAGCAACGCCATGTCCATTCGCTGTCACTCCCATCTCCTCCCACCCCCACCCCGGCAACCACTCAACTCGGCTCTGTGCTAACAGATTTGCCTCTTCGGGATATTTCATAAAAATGGAACCATGCAATCTGGTCCTTTGTGGCCGGCGTCTTTCACACAGCATAATGTCTTCATTATTAGCATGAATCATTATTCTTTTTATTTCCAAATACTATTCCATTGTGCAGGTATCCTGCATTTTATTTATCTGTTCACTAGTTGATGGACACACCTTTTTGGATATTATGAGTACTGCTGCTCTGAACATTCATGGGTGAGTTTTTGTGGGTATATGCTTTCGTTTCTCTTGGGAATATGCCTGGAGTGGAATTGCTGGGTCTCATGGTATCTCTATGTTAAACTGTTGAGGAACTTGTCAGATTGTTTTCCAAATTGGCTGCACCCTTTTGGAATTTACCAGCAGGCTTCCGGACTTTGCACATCTTCACCCACACTTGTTATTGTTTAAATTACAGCCATCCTGGTAGGTGTGATATGATCTCTCATGGTGGTTTACTGAGTATCTTCATGTGTCTATTGGCCATTTGTCTATCTTTGCTGGAGAAATGTCTGTTCAAGTCCTTTGTCCACATTTTTTACTTGAATGTCTGTCCGTTTTTACTAAGTTGTAACCGTTCTTTATATGTTCTGATACAAGTCCTTCAGAGACATCATTTGCCAATCCCTGTCTTCTCATCGCGGGTCTTGCACCTGGAAGTGCTCCTCAGCCAATAGGAAGGGAGATGACTGGTGGACCAAGTCGGAAGGTGCAAAGACCAACCCCCACGAGTTTCAGATGCTGGGTGCTGAATGCCTGTGAGGGCCTTTCTTTCCTGAGCCACCCAGCACACTCCCTGGGCCAGGGCAAGCTCTTAGGAGCATCACTGTGGTGGTTCCAGGGTCACCAAGGTGACTTAGGAGGACCCGGCATGGCCTGGTCCACATGGGGCCACATGGGACCACCCATCATCTGGTCCTTGGAAAGGAGCCCCATACAGCTCACTTCCCTGTGCCCCATCCCCAGCCTCCCCCTCCCCCCGCCTCCAGCACTGCTGGCTGCCCTGGTCTCCCTGTTGAGCTCAGGTGCAGGGCACTCCAAATTGGGTTTCACTATTTTTTGCCAGAAGCCCTCATAAATAAGGCATAATTCTGTGAACTAAGGTTCTCCCAATTATGAGTCTTATTTAACTCTAAGCAAAAGAATGATTCATTTTCTTTCCTCTTAAAGGAAAGAAACCTGTCATGTAATTGCCAACAGTTTGTTATAGTCTCGTCAAGTTGAAAACACAGTCAAGTAAGTTTAATTGGATCAGGTCAGAGCCCAGGTCTGGCTTATTCATCTCTGTGTATCCAGATCCTGGAGCAGAGCTGGGCACAGAGGAGGCCCTCAAATACTTGAGAAACGGATGCTAATGTTTTGAAAGAGCATGCTGACTGTGTGATGCAATTGTCTGACATCACGGAGCTGCCTCTGGGACACCTGCCCATGTGGAATGAGTCCCTCCAGAGAAGGCTCAGGCTGACAGGGACGGAAGAATAGCACACGTCACACCCTTTGTAGGGGTTGAATTGTTCCTTCCAAAAAGATATGTCCAAGTCCTGGTCCCTGGTCCCTATGAATGGAAGGCAGCTATGCTCACCACTATACCACCAACGCCCTGGTCCCCATGAATGGGACCTTGTTTGGAAACTGGGTTTCGGAGATGTAATCAAGTAAAGATGAGGTCATGCTGTAGTAGGGTAGACCCTGCGCCAATGACTGGCGTCCTTATAAGGAGAGGGACATTTGACCCGGAAACACGGGGAACAGGTGATGGAGGCAGAGCTGGGAGTGATGCATCTGTAAGGATCAGTGGCACCACCAGGAGCTGGAAGAGGCAAGGGGGAGCCTCCCCACAGCCTTCGGAGGGAGCATGGCCCTGCTGACACCTTGCTTTCAGAATCCTAGCTTCCAGGATGGTGAGAACACACCTTTCTGTTGCTTTAAGCTACCCAGTTTGCGGAAATTTGCTAGAGCAGCCACAGGAAACGAATACGCCATTCCAATTGCTTTCGGAGTCAGTCTCATTCAGCCACGATTGC